CAAACCTAAACCCTAAATATAAGCCACATGATTCATTCGATTCTATTCACCATAATCCTGTATTAGTAAACGAGTTAAACTAGTACTGGAAACGGAGACGACCCAGAGGGCATATGAATCTTTGTTGGGTTTCTTGATGGCTCTGCTCATTCGGTGGCCCCAACAAGATACACAAGATGATGACGAGGTGCCGCAGTCTGAAGCTTGTTGTGTGGTGGGTCCTGTCCTTCTTGTTGTCTTGTGCACATGGATCCTTCCTTCATTATCATGGCAAGAGAGGGTTTTGGTTATTTCCTGCTCGCAGCCGTGGTATCCTCCTCCATCCAAGTGCTTGTGGCATAACACAATTGTCAGCGGGTGTGGTTGTAGTAGACTCTGACATGGTACTATCATCGGCTGCCGAAGATTCCGCCGCTGTGGACGCTCTGAGCACTCAGGATATTGGAGTGGGGATCATTCTGGCGGTCTTATTGGCCGCCTTGGCAGTTTTTCTGCAAGAACAATCGAGATCGTCGTTTCCCAATTTGGTCTTGTGGACAACAAGAGACAGTACTGATAATGGCACTCCAAAAGATGCCTTTATGGAGGCGGATGATGACGATGCAGAGACCATTATAAGTCTGTCCAGCAATAATGCCACGGCTGGAGTGGAGAATGCAACCAGCAACAGCAACACTACCAGCAGTAACATTGTCTTTAATGGGACCAACTGGAGCGAGATGAGTCGTCCCGAAAACTACATTTGGTATTCCAGGTCTATCACGGACAACGACAGCAAAAAGTCCACACGACAATCCATGTCCTGGGACAACCGAATAGCCTTGTGGGCGCTCGTGGCGCTCTTTGTTCCCATTTTTGGAGTGGAACTCTTCTTGGCATTGAGTCGACAATTTGTGTGCGAAAGCGGCAGCAGTGGAAGTTTGGCGTGGGCACAAGACTTTTGTGCTCCCATTTATGATGCATACAAGGGACCATCATGAAATGAAACAAGGATCAGGGCGAATACATCCAATTGACTGGAACAACTTTGATGGAATAGTGCAACGCCACCATTTCCACTCGACTCGACTCACTCCATCAGACTGCCAATGAAAACTACAACTTGCTTCAAATGCCAAACTGCTCAAGAGTTGGAAGCAAGAAGTGTTTGGCTGGCTAGGACTGCGATTACAACGGGATTCTTGCGGGCTGAGGTTCGTCAGGTCAATTTGCAAGGCAGCTTGGGTATTTAAAAAGAATTTGGTGCAGAGAGCGGTAGTTTTACTTGTACGGTAGAACTCAGCCGGATTGCATATTGGTTTGGGGCTTGCGTGTAGTGTACCGTACCGGTATTGTTCGAAACCGACTCAAAGAGGTCAGCTTTGGACGCTAGATTTGCACTTACTTAGAGGCCTGGTATCGTCTCCACAACCCATCTCCCAGATATACTGCAGCGTTGCTTCAATGAGCCATCGTTCCGGCTACAATTTCAGAGTGTTCAGCAGGTACCGGTGGATGAACTGCTTGTGGGCGGAGGAGATTGCAGGTGGGAGCCGCGCATTGGGGGGACTCCTGCAAGGCATGCCTTGCAAGGGAAGTTATGAAAACATAGGCCATTCGTTGCTTCCGGGTCGTCGTAGACATGCCATTCTTCTTTTTCTGATAAGAACCTGGCCCCACTGTGGTTCAGATAGACAATGGCGTTGCAAGCCTCAGCTTCGCTATCTCGGGCAATGACAGATTCGATTCGATAGAATTTTCGATCCTTTTTAAAATCGAATTGGGTGTGCTAGCTCCTGCGCTTCGCCAATTTGGAAGGCAGCATCTTCGGCTTGCAGATGTCTCCAAAGCAAGCCCCGTTTACTAGTACAGTATCATAGTGTAGAATGACGACGACAAAACAAAGTTTAATCAACAAGATCCATCCCAGCTGGCCAAAGCTGCATTAGAACACGCCGCCTGCAATTCCTTCCTTGGTGGAGCAAGAAGTTGGCAAATAATAATGGTGTGGTATTAATTAAAATACGTTGTGTTTTAGATTTTGTGAGCGGAGTTGCCACCGAAGTGCAAAAGTGCACTCGTTCTGAATGTTGGTACCGTTGACTATGTCCTGTTGTGTTCTCTTTTAAATCCTAAAGAAAGGCTCTTGGAGACCACCCTGGATTCGAGTCACTCGACTCATTCCTTAGGAGAACTATCTTAATACCAGTCTCTAGCTAGCTAGTGGGTGGGGTGGCCATCCACAATCCACATCCAGCTGCCTAATAATAATTGATCGAAGGTGAAGCTGTGCCTAAAGAATTTCCACGTCATGTGGTTTTAAGGCCACGTCAGGAATGATTTATTGACTAGCACCCGCAGTTTTGAGGAAAAGCCTTTGCTATTGCTGCTTTTAATCGTTAGAAAGTGAGAAAGTCCGTTCCAAAATTGTTTGCTTCCCGAAACTGGAAGGATCTTCCAGAAGTTGCTGTTTGACGTCCTCCACCTCCCGATGATCGACCTGATGGTCTGTCACCAGTCTTGAGCATTCCTCAAATGCATGCTTGACACTGAAGGAGACTTGTAGTTGCCTTTGTCACATATACTGTACACCAAGAGCTACCTGGTACCACAACTTGGAACCAAACTAGCTAGTCTACCCATTCAGTTCGAAATCTCTTTGAAATCCTCATCTACGGTACCACCATGACTGTGATTTACAACATTGAAGACTCTTGGCATGTGATCACACATGTGCACGGCAGCGTTTGGCCTCATGTGGTCTGGACGTGTGTGGCCATGAGCGCCCTGACGACGGTGCTGTTTGTGCTCAAGTACTATTACCACTTTGACTTGACGTTCAATGTAGCGGGTAACACATACCTGTCATTGATTGTGTCCTTCTTGGTCGTTGGCCGAGCTCAGAATGCCATTCAGCGCTTCTGGGAAGCTCGAGGTGCCGTGGGTGATGCCTTGAAGTCATGTCGTGAGCTTTCCCTCATGATCATTGCCACCACGGGACGTGAAACTACCGAAGAAGCCAACTTGTTTCGACTCTTGGTCAAGAAGCAATTGGTCAAGTTGTTGCGGAGTACCATGGAAGTCATTCAAGACGAAGGTCTGTCACTCAGGCTCATGCAGGGAGAGATTGATGAAAAGGATAAGTGTGTCTACATCTTTGACTCGTCGCGGATTAGCAAGTACAATGACACTGGTCACATCACAGACCCACTAGATGTAGCAGGAGCTCTGTATACCATCCTAGAACGCAATGATGAGTTCCTGGAGAAACCCATCCACTTCTTGCGCATGAATGCCATGGTGAGTACTATACTGACAACCACCTTACTACAAAGCTAGTCTTGTTTTAGCTTGCTTGCTTATGCAGCCTACTCACCACCCGCTTGCTTGGCTTGTCTCTCGTCTACTCCGCACCCCCGTAGTTCAGTTGCATCTCCAAGTTTATCGATACATACTACCACTTGACCAAGTTCACCACCACTCCCATCCCCTTTGCTGTCGGTAACATGGGCCGAACAGCCTTGGTGGTTTGGATCTTCACCATCCCATTTGTCCTGGTCAACCAGATTGATGAACTTGTGGCTTGTGTTGGCCTGGTCTTTGCCATTACGTATGCCTTTGTCGGTTTGGAGTTTGTGGTCATTGAGCTCCATGATCCCTTCGGTGACGATCCCAACGACATTGAAGTAGAACGCTTGTGTGAGACCACAATTCGGGGTATTGAAAAGGATCTCATGGGTTGCAACGGCGCCTACAGCACCGTCAGCTATGAACCCGAACGAAGAATCAGCCTGGCACGACCGTCCTCGGAGCAACAACATCCTCCACAAAAGGTCCTCCGCAGGAGCACCAGCGACTTGAGTACTACCGCCGACGAGACCAGCTTCCCGGGAGATGAAGAAGCGCTTTCCAGTGGACAGCAGCAGCACAGAGGTGCCGGTGTCTTCTTGATGCCTCAGAAGAGCTTCCAAGCTACCCATGATTGTGCTCGACCCATGTCCGAGATCAGCCCCCTCCTGTCAACAGCGGTATGATGTGATCCCTCCAGCAGTGGTTGCCTTGCAGAACCAGCCAGAAACTCTTTCCCTTCCCGTTCCCATCACCTTCAGATACCAGACGCCATCAACCATCCGTCCTCCAAGCAAGAACGCGGCACCGCACAACACCGGAACCGGCCAACCTAGAAGCCATACTGGTACATGAACATATCCATACTGGGAACCATACTAGGAAACTAAAACTGGCTAACTCTAGCTATAGAGTAGATCTGATTACATCCGTCTATCCATCTCTTTTTGTAAACAAGACCAGTTGCCTCCAGCCGAAACTATGAAATCTCCTGGGCGCGCCTGCCTGGACAAATCGATTTAGAACCATGACAGAAATTATTATGGCGCAGTTCATTCCCACACAAGCACGCCGCCGAGAGCTGGCTGTGCTCCGAGCAACTCGGAATCAAACCAAAAACACAATTCACACACAAGAAATGCAAATCGGAGGGAGGGATGCAAGTGTTTCTTGAGACTTGCGTAACGCTTCCATCCAATTAATTGTACCACTATGAATCACATCGATCGTACCGAGAGAGAAAAGAGCGCGTCTTGTCAGTTGCTTGGATGATAGTTTGCTTACTTTTTGTGGGTCGTACATCAACTAACTGTGCTTCAGATAGATGTTCATCATGGGAAAATCAGTCGGGGGGTCTTTGTTGCTCTCGTTGGGGCTCTTGCTCTCGTGCAATCTGTTGCTGGTAGAGACGAGGCTAAATGGTGGTGGAAGGCTGGACAATGCTGAAGTAGGATCGCAAAGTACCGGCACGCCTAAGCGTGACCTTTGGCAAACTCGCATTGTTGGAGGACGCGAAGCTCCTTCAGGCATCTTTCCTTACTTTGTCGAGCTGGCGAATGGTTGTGGCGGATGCCTAATTCACAATGATTTAGTACTCACGGCAGCCCATTGTGTTTATGGACACGCCAACATGGCTCTCCTGCGATCCTATCCAAGGGTCTTTATCGGTGGTGTTGTGGCGCAATCTGGAAGGGCGGAACGAAGCATTATTGATTTTCGGATCGATCCAAGGTACAATCCAACAAGTGCCTCCTATGACTTTGCTATCCTGCTGTTGGATAACCCAGTCGAGATTGCAACTCCGCTACAACTTAACAGTGAGCCCATGTTCCCTGTGGAAGGACAGCCTTTGACCATTGTCGGATATGGATTCACTAACCAAGGCATTGGTCGAACAGCATCGAGACTCCAACAAGCATCAGTTAACTATCGCTCCGATTGCAAAAGTACATATGCAAATGGGAGAGTAAAAGAGTACGAAATGATGTGTGCTCACGCACCGGACTACTCCAGGGATGCATGCCAAGGTTGGTAGTATCGTACAAGAGAAGAAGATACGAGCGCCGAAGCCTTTGTTGTCACTCATTTATGTGTTTGATCCGGTGCAGGTGATAGTGGCGGTCCCTTGATTGCTGCGAACAATGTCTTGGTAGGGGTTGTGAGCTGGGGAGAAGGTTGGTTTCGTGAAACTCGAGCGATGGTTTGATGACTTTTTGGCGCTTACCATCTTGTCGTGTATCTTTCATTCAAAAAAGGATGTGCCCAATTGAATGCACCGGGCATCTATGCTCGAGTTAGTGCTGCCAACGAGTGGATGGCCCAGCAGAAATGCGAGTTTTCGAACGTTCCACCTGCTGACTGCGTCTGTACACGGCAAAGCGCTGATTGCGTGCCCATCCAAGTCAATGTCACGTATGACAGTGTGAGTCCAGATGGATGAAGAAGGTGCTATCATTGCACGAGTAGGTTGCAGGGCTTCTAACCATTGATTTTGTGCTCTACTGCATGGGAACCTTTTTCGATAGTACTCAACAGAGACTGGATGGCAGCTTGTTCGCCCATCAGACGGAGCCGTAATAGTGTCCTCGCCTGCTAAAAGCATCAGTACGTCACGATTGGACACCATATCTTACCCAATCTTGGTACCCTCAGGGTCGTACGAATTGCATGTGGAAGACTCATATGGGGATGGCATGTGCTGCCAGTTTGGATCCGGATCAATATCTGTATTTGATGGCGTGGGAAATGTTCTTCACGATGGTAAATTTGATGACTTTCTGTTGATAAGGTTTGTGGCTTCCAAAACACAATCCCGCGCTATGGGAGACAACCCCCCTCCGACACGTTCGCCAAGCCTAGCTCCGACACCCATGCCTTCCACCACGATCCCCACGCCTTTGCCTACCACTTTGGCTCCAACGACCCCACCTACGCAACTGCCACGAGTATCCCTACGAGTGGAGATACTCCATGACCACTATCCCGAGGAAACCTCGTGGACTCTACGTGACAATGTCACTGGCCACGAACTCATTGGTTCTCCTTCCTACAGTGTGACGACCCCAATGCAGTTGGTGGCTGCCACTGCTCCCGGTTTGGTCCCAGGGCAGTCATATACTCTGACGGTCCATGACATTGCGCATGATGGTGTCTGCTGTATGTATGGTCTTGGTAAAATCCAGGTCCTATTGGTAGCGAGCTCTGGGGAAGAGAAAGAGGTTTGGTACCATAGTGGAGAATTTGGTGACGTAATCGAAGAGACCATTACGATTCCATTGCCCTAAGCAAGCGATCAGATGGAGCAAACGGCAATAGCCATAGGGAAAGCAAGCGAGGAACTCAGAGGGGACTACTTTCACTTGCACCCAATCCGCACGGAACCTTATTGCCATTGAATGGAAGAGCTTCCAAGAGTTCACACGATAAGGAAAAGCCGAAATGCACAGTTGTTTTTGATTGGCACCCTTCCGAGCAGGGCATCCTCGCAACCTTTGCAGCATGGAAACAGGGCGGTATTCGGCTCAAAGAACAACAGGCACCTCTATTTTTTAGGTCTTCTTTTTTCATGATCTCGTTCATGTTATGGCTCGGTGATCTTTTTTCTTTATAGAAAATGGTGTTATCTTGCAACTCATTACTAACAATCCTTGAGCTGGCAACGTCATGTTGTGGTTGTCGCGTGGGGTTGTCAGTGTCAAGTTTTCCCAGAAGCTTTCTTTCTCTCCAAAAGTGTCTGGGATTGTGGCTTCCAACCCCTCTCATTCCCTGCCAAGATATTGCATCAAGAGACGAAGGCCGCAGGACTTCCTCTGGCACTGTCCCACTCAGATAACCCATGGGAACAAAAGGGTTTCCAGTTGAGTCAGCAGCCCCATCCCCGAATGGTTCGCATATTGCACTAAAGCCCAGAAAGAGTCGGGCTCTACATGATTGTTCCCAGTATGCAAGGGAAATACGGGCACTCGTACATCTCCAAAACTCCAAAAAGAAGAGAGGAAAATTGGATCTATCTCCAGTGGTAAACAGTGGTCCATAGAGTTGTCAATTTGAACATTGGCGACGCTCATGAACTTCACTCCAGGAAAGAGAAACAGGCTGGGAGCTTGGCTCTGTCTGACACGTGGGGGAATTCTACAATACGGTTGTTGATGGGACACACTATGCGCGCGTCCTGCAGATACTTTCCCAATTACATTGGTTTACCCCATGATGCAGCCATGATGGCTGCCAACCAAGTACCAACTGTTAAAGTAGTAGTACCATGCAAGAGGAAAGCTTGCTGTTGCTTTTCAATAGTCTTGACAGTTTGTCAAGTGTGGTACAAAGTTGAAATTGGATCCCGTCTCCCTCCATTGGCGAATCTTACGAGGAGGTCTCCTTTGTCAAATTGGGCACAGGAATACAATGGTCGAATTGCAACCATGGTCCATGGTCCGTGATATACACATTGATTCTTGGGGCTGCCATTCTGTGTGGCTGCCATTCTGTGTGGCTGGTGTGGCATTGGCTGGCATCGGCATCCCCTCCAGGTTAACCTTCATTTCGCTGTTGGTTTCCTCGGTTATCCATACCGGTCCCAGCAAGCCAATCGCACTCCAACGCCCTTGCTCCTTGAAGTTGTGAATTGGCCGAGATGATTGTAGGTGTCTTCTTGAGTGAGTGCTTGAGTGTGCATCCTCGGTTGCCCTATTCAGCGTTCATAACGGTATATTGATGTGGATTCTGAGAGGTGGCATGATGGCATGATGCATGGTATGGTTGTACTGTCATAGTCGTTACTGTACCGGTACTGTATCTTGACCCCGATGGCTTTGCCTGACGACCACTTGCATCCGTGAATAAATGATCATCGCCAGCATGGTGGTAGGTTCATTGCATCTTTAGGTTTGTTGGGGCTATTTAGTTGCATGCTATTCCAGATCTCGGTTGGTACAGTCGTACTGCTTCGATCCTCGATCGATAATTTGTGAGTTGGCCAAGAATTGAGTTGCGTATCTGAGCTTGAAACTTGAAATCCTACCGGTAGGTACATCGTATCATCACTGGACCTCTGTGGAAACGTCATTCGTGGCAAAATACTTAGGAGACGATACACCGAGGCATAGGAGACGATTGAAAGGATTTAAGAGACGAAAGCAATCGTCTCCTATATTTAGGAGACGATTCAGTAGGAGACATTCCAATTTAGGAGACGAAAATTTCGAAATAGGAGACGATCCTAAAGATTTAGGAGACGATACCATACAGTTTACATGGTACACTTAGGAGACGATCCGTTGAGAATAGGAGACGATCCGTTGAAAATAGGAGACGATTCAAGAGGAGACGAAAGATTTAAGAGACGATCCGTTTCGTCTCCTATTTTTAGGAGACGAAATCCCTTAAATAGGAGACGATCAAAAGGATTTAGGAGACGATCGGTTGCACGACTCGAGTTTCCACAGAGGTCCAGCATCACAGCTATCATCACACTCTTGCTGCTAAATAAGGATTTAGCAGATGCTGGGGCTGTAGACGGGTTCAAGCATATGTTTAGGAGATAAGAGGAGTACTGGAAGAAAGACAGGGGCATAATAGGCAAGGTCATTATTTGCACTGATCTGGTACAGTAGAAAGACGGTCAACGGTCAGTCAGTGCACCTTTATAGGGTCACTGGCCAAAAGGAGCACTATGTACTAGTACTGTATACTAGTAGTTTCGAGTTGAATAACGTCACACTCAACTCTCTGCCTAGGAAATGGCTGTTGTCTTGCCCCCAACCTTCCAGTTTTATGTGCGTGATGGGTGTGACACCCATTTATTCATGCCTTGGATTGCAAAAACGGTGGTTTACATGTAGTCACCCCACATCATGATGAATTCATTGCCTGCGAATGCTGCTCTTCTTCTGTTGTTCAAGCCGAACTCTCCCACCTATTGTACCCACCATCCCACACCACCACAGGTCAAACAATCAATTGCAACAAAACCTCTGATCCCTAGCCACCTAGTACCCTACCAGTCTAAACCCCCACAAGCAAAATAAATTTCCATTTGTGGTTTGTTTGAACATGGTGCTACTGCTATTATTGACATTTGTGTTGCCGATTTGGATGCTTCGATGTCTCCTACCAGAACAAAGACCCTTTAATTTTTTGTGTGCTCTGGAATGCGCAAAACTTTCCAAACAATGCAAAGCTTCCCTTTGTTGTTTCCATGGATGGCATACTTGCCCCCCAAGCCTCAATTGTTTTTGCAACACCTTAAACAAAACTTAATATTCCCATTCCCAAATGACACGACTTTCAAGTGTCCTTGTTACAGCCACTCATTTTTTTCTCTGTAGATCCCACAAATCCAAGCCATTTGGCCCTTGTGTTATTTGTAGTCCACAATTTGCCTTCCCTGATCCAACAGAACCTTCTTTCATCTTTTCTTTTGCTGGGCCTAGAGCGCCCTCTACTGGATTCCGTAGTCAACTTCCACACATTAGACCCCCCATTACCGTACTATGTTTAAAATAATGGTGTTCCATGGTTGATGGGAGTGTACCGTAGGAGAACGGTACCGTACCGTACGCGTCGATAGACCTTTTGAGGGTCGTATTCATTAAATCTGTCTAGTGCCGCTTGCACTCGTTGGCTCGTGGGCTCCCAAAAGAGAACCATTTAAGTCCTAAGTAAAAATCCAGCCGCCAGCCGCTAACATACAGTCGTAATTGCCAAAACAAACGACGGCAATGGCCTTGATCAGTTCCTTGATCCAAGACGGAAGAGCACCAAGCCGTAAGCTACGGCCGGAATCGAATCAGATGCCATACGCTCTGCCATTCCTACCAGTAGCTGGGACCACCATCACCAGCATCCACCATCCACACAGCCACAACGACAGAGCAGCCTGTTCAGGGGTACTTAGACTGAAGCTTGTGCAGTGCAGAGAAGTTGTTCATAATACTATTATATCATGACTGTGAACCAGAACTGCAAAACAGAGCATCCACACCCTCCCCCAACAGATGGGGCAACAGGGTTGTCGTCGCAGGACATTGGCACGGCTACAATGAACAACAACACTGCTGGTAATAGATCGTTAGCCGAGAAGGCGGCCTTGGTAGAGTCAAACCAAATGTTAGCAGGACTACTCGACCTTTTATGCGACGATAGCAACAAGCACAGCAACGACAATGTCAACATCAACGACAACGACAACGATGAGAAGCCCGACCACTGTAGTGATCCCAAGAAGCAACCGTCCAAAGCAACCCTTGGAAAACGCGACGAAAAGGACGACACGGTTGCCTTGAAGAAGAAAGCCGCCGCAAACGACAAAGATGAGAAATTCGGTCATAGTACTAGTGATTCCAACAAGAATCAAGATGAAAAAGCAGCCGTTCACAAACGTGACGAAAAGGACGCCGCAAAGCTGAAGGGCGATGAACTGCGTGTGGCTGCTGCAAGCAAACATCGGGCGGACGACGACGAAAAAGACATGGATGGCAACTGCAAAATAGATCTAGTAGATGGCAAGTCACCGTGTAAAAAAAGAGATCCAGAAGGCGAGGAGGAAAATACTTTCGACATTTCCCCCATGCCCATGCCCAACACCGATGACTACGATCGTACTACACCCGGTGCATACGGTGTGGACGGACCGGGGCTACTAGAAGATGCTTCGTTTTCCGAGCCAGATGCCAATTTGGAATCTTTTTTGGCGTCCATGTTGGTGACGACCAATGTCGAAGCGTCTGAATCTCCTGCCGTCTATCCAGCCGAGTTGGTAGTGACCAATCCACCAGAGGTCGGCGAACAACTACAAGAACAACAACAACCATCAGAACCGAGGATGGAAATTCCCCATGGGAGCAACAATGATGACGCCGTCGTGATTGAAGGCAAGGCCGTTTCGGACCGCAAGTCGCTGTCGCGCCGAAAATTTGAATTGTTCTCGCTTTTGGGAATTGCCGTCTTGGTGGGGATCGTAGTCGCACTCTCCTTGGCCCTGAGTGGGACGTTTTCATCATCCGACGAGGACAACAACAACAACGAGGAAGTGACATTGTCTCAGGATGGGCCTGGACTTGTACCTGAACATGAACATGAACCGAAAGTGTCTACACTGGAGCGGATCCGTCAACGAGGTTCCCTACGAGCCGCCATGGGGTTCTTTCCACATTCGGTCCTTGTCAATGGCACGGTTGTCGGTCGAGATGCCGACCTGGTAAGTTCCTCACCATTCCCCCACACAATGAGATTGTGCAGTTGTTTATGTTCATTTTATGCTCACTCCTTTTGTTGTGTGCGACTGTATCAGGCACGGGCTGTGGCAGCGGGTGCTCTAGGTTCCGAGGCCGAGGTGGAGTTTATGGACATTGACATCAAGGAGCTCTTTCAATCTCTGGGGAATGGAACCATTGATGTCATGATCATTGGGATTACTCACACCATGGAAAGGGATGTTTTCATGGTAAGCTATGCTACAATTCCATTCTTTCTTCCTCAGATCAAATTGATTAATTGGCATGTCAACTAACTCTCAACATGCTGTCTTGTTGTTGCACACAGGAACACAGCCAGGAAAGTTATGATTTCTCTAGAACCCCGTACATGTACGAAGGTGTTCGAGCTGCGGGAGATCCATTCCATGTCCTAGAATGTGCCGACAAAAACTTTCGACACATTGGTGAATGCAGTGGACTCAAAGTTTGCGTACCCAATGATTCCACGCAATTACTCATGGTAGAAAAGTACCTGCCGGCACGTCACATTGTCTTGGGAAGTGATTTCTGGGATGCACCCTATAAGGATCTTGTGAATGGAGATTGCAATGTATTGGTAGAGGAAGATGTCAAATTTGCCATGCCTCTTGTGGAAGAGTATCTGTCTGTCAATGGATCCAAAATTTCACCACAACAATTCACGAGAGGACGCAACTACTATTCCGTGGAACCCTACTCCATACTTACGGCCAGTACCGACCCATCATGGACCGATTTTGTCAATGCCATGCTACAATCATTGCTGACAGCAGAATACCACAACATCACGCAAGAGACTGCGGATACATCCCCCCAAACCAACGTGTTTGGAGAAGACTACAAAGACAGCTTTCGACATGCCATTGCACAGCATGGGAACTTTGGAGAGATCTATGACCGCAACTTGGATGACTGGCAACCAAGGAGTACACTCAACTTTATCAACGACGGTACAACTGGCTTGCTACAATCACCCCCCTTTGGACACATTCAATATGACCGCAACGATGCACCACTGGGTGACACATTTCAACGAATTGTCCAGCGTGGAAATGTGCGTTGTGGAATTGTCAGGGATCGGCCAGGTTTTGCCATGTGGAATAATGTCAACAACACATACCATGGCATGGATGTTGATTACTGCCATGCTTTGGCAGCTGCGCTCTTTGGTGGCGACAAAACAGCAGTGCAGTTTGTAGAGATTGAAGGACAAGATGCTGCCAATGGATATGCGCTGCTCAATGATGACGACATTGATGTTTTGGCTGGTGCCACCTGGACACTGGAAACAGATGTCAAGGAACCGACCACTGGCCAGGGGTATTCGTTTTCATTGCCGTACTTCTATGGGTACAGCACTGCTGAAGACAATTTCTGCCTGGCAACACGTCAAAGTGACCACGATTGGTCAACCTTTGCGTATTGGATTGTTGCTGCCACGGTGAACGCCGAAGAGAATGGAATCACTTCCATGATGTTTCATAGCATGCCGGAAGTCTATGTCTATGGGCCAGCTTTCCGACGAATGTTTCGAGACAGCATCCTTGCTGTTGGCAACTATGCAGAACTGTATGAAAGGAATCTCCAGAGTTTATTCCCAAGACAGGGTCGGAACTTGCTAAATTCTGCTCCAAACAATGGACCACAGCACTATCTGCTACCTGGGTTTGGCTTCTAGGCTGGTCGGCCCAATGGCTACCTACTTGGGGAAGAGGACAGATACCGGTACATCATCTTGCTATAGCTTAACATGACATTTGTAGTGTACATTGCGTTGCACTGCATAGAGTGTCATCTTCTCCTCCCGCCAAAAGCTGCGTTCCGCTGTCTGGAACATGGGAAGAGCGTTTTGGACAGGCAAATAAGAGTCCAGTTTGGTGATTGCTGCTCCCTTCGTCGCCTACCGTATACCGGTACATGGATTTGTCATTAGTTGCCTTGGCCGTTCACGAACGCTTTGCTTCGCAACACATAGATTCGAATGGTGGCGTCATTGGTGAGTAGGACTTGTTCCACCTCCAAACAGTTGTCGCATTCTTGCAGCAATCCCTCGAAGGATCCCTTTTCCAAATAGTGACAAAAGGCTGCATAGTGCGATGTGAATCGTTGATCCAGCCATAGCAAGAGCTTGTCTTGCCATTTCTCTCCTGGGACAAAAGCTGCCACGATCAGTTTGGGTGCCATGGAGCTCATGGTCATCAACAAGGACACCGCAGTTGGCCACGGTACGACATGGAAAAAGAGCGTTGCCATGGCAATGTCAAACTGATTGTCAGTTTCGGTTTGTTGTTGTTGTTGCAAGTCTTGCAAGTCTTGTATCCGATATTCCAAACAATCATGATTGTCGTTGTCGTCGTTGTAGAGTACTAATCCAGCCGCTTGAGCTCGTTCTCGTGCGTATTGAATGGATTCTGGATTCAGATCGATCCCAAGTCCGTAGTCTATTTGGTTGTCACGTCGCAGCCGGAACAATTGATCTCCCGTCCCACAGGCAACGTCCAAAACACGCATCATCTTGGGGCCACCTTTAGATGATTTACCGGTAGACACCACCAAATCTTGGATTTGTTGGCGAATGGGTGCCAATACTCGGTCCACCAGCTTTGGGTTGGGCATTCTCCTACTAATTACAGTTTCATTGGCAGCGTTTTCTGCAGTAGATTTGACATTTCCCATGGTGGCAGCCGACGACGACAGAACCGAAATTGCGTGTCGTCGTGATGTCAACCAGAACCACAGCAAAAGAGTCTGCAGGAAAGGTATCATTCGATTTATTCGTCCTCAGCAAGTCACCACACATGCACTCTCTGACAGAATGGTTTATGCTTTATTTTCTGTCTTTTTTAGGAAGAAGTCAGGCCAAGGAGCCCTCCATGGAAGAATGGAAGCATGGAAGGAGGGAAGAGTGATCTTACCGATACCTAAAAAGGGACACTGCCCTGTGCTGTCGAAGGAGCTGAAGTGCTTTGGATCTTTCAAACACGATTCAAAAGATCCAACGGCATCGGCACCAGTGCACACCAAAACTCACACTGCTGCTGTACCGTTATGGTCCTCCTCCTGCGGCTGCTGCTGCTTGCTACCGGTGCCACCAGGTAGCTCTATAGAGCTAAGAAAAGTAAAGGTGATGCTCCAGCGGAGGCTGTTGATGACCATGATCCGTTCCCTGCTGCCCTACATGTATTGATGTAACGTCCTTATTATCTGTCCGTGTCCATTTTGTTGTCCGGGCCAAGAAGAGGGAGGAGACAGGTAGAAAGATATAATGAATTAGAATGCGAGCAGGAAGCTCTTTGATATAGCTAGCTTGACACCGTTTCAATGCCGGCCTACCGCACTTTCGCCAAGTTGGTTACTTGTATTGCACAGCACAGAAAAAGAAGGCTCGCATGCGCCGCCAAGTTCAAAGACAGACTCAACTCTGCAACATCAATGATCCCTCCTTGCATCATACTACCGTAAAACTGTCCTTCATCTCTTTACCTTCCTCTGCATCCTTGACTTCCGCGTTCTGGGCTGATTTGTCTTGAGCCGCGTCTTCTGATGCTGCGATCAAGCATGCTTCCAGCTTATTTGTCCAACGGCGAAGTCCCGCTTCCTTCTCCGTGACGTCCTGTGACCAACGGATCTTGGGAACCTTACGTCCGATAGTTTCAATCAAACTATTGTAGGAATGCAAACAATTCTCGACCTGACGTTTCACTTCACGCGCTTCAGACAAAGGCTGGGGTTGAGCCTCTCGCATGTGGAGCAAGTATCGCTCCACAAGTTGCATCGTGGTCTCGATCTGTTGCTGGGCACGTTGGGTGACGCGTGGCTCGAATTTCTCAAGCTCTCTAAACTCGTTGCTCCGTTGAATCAGCATCCACTGCGAGGTCATCCGAACAACTGTTTCCTCTACCGTGGAGGAAGAATGCCCTCGGCGCTGCAGAGTCCACATGTTTTCCTCCATTTGGTGCTCCAGCTGTCGGGTGTGTTCCTCGAGCGACCCGTAGCGTTCAATCAGGGCGGCAAGTCTCATGTTGGTATCGTCAACACCGTCATCGTCGTCGTCCACTTTACGCGTCAAGAAGTACAAGGTCAACGTCGCCACTACTGCAAGAGTCAAAGTGGGGATCCAGCTTGGTTGTGCCATCTTGCTGTCTCTGATACTTCTGTTATTGTCCTCTTTGGAAGCAACGATTGCTTCTTATTGAACCACAAAGCCTCGAGTTGTGGCAAGCATTGATGGACCAAGCAAACCGGATTGCATGTAAAGCTGGACTTTTGCGAGGACGTTTGAGTTGACAGAAGTTTCTGGATGGAAGAAAACGGCGGGAAACGACCGCAACGAGGGGTGCGCCCAGGCTGGTTGCTTGAAATCATTCAATTGCTCTTGGCTGTCTACATGCATCCGTATCTCAGTTCTCACCATCGATGTTAGCATGATCTGCACGGGCAGTAACCAGAAACAAAGCAGACTCCACCCAACTGTCACTCGTCTCCACTTGCTTTCACTTTTAAAAAACAAGGCTTTGACACCACGCCTCCATGAAACCACGCCGTGGTAAAATCCTTCCAATGGTGGGGCCCAACCGTGGGCATGGATTGGTCCTTGCCCTGTTCCAGGAGTGGGTCTGGAGTTGGCCCTTTCTCTCCCACAGCCTGCAATTTCAAAGAGGCAGCTGTTCGAGGCAGCTGCGACCTGAGGCGATTTGGAGTAACTCACTGGTATGAGGCAACAGTCTGGGCCCACATGAAACAGTTCATGAACCAGGGATCTGCAGCGATTGCATAGAATACACTAGAAACTTCCAGCTGGGTGACTGTTTCCATTAGAACATCCATTTCCACGGAGAGTAGCCCGTAGCCCGTGTTGAGAAGGCATCAACGAAAACACAAAACACGGGGACCATTCTCAGTGAATAAATAATTACTTGAAAGTTTGAAAAATGCTTGGGGAGACATTTGGAGTCCCATCATATTAGTTTTACTCCGAAAATAACCATTCATAACGTGAGCAGAAGTAGCGTAGTGGTACCAGAGCTGTACCAGTTAGGGAAGTGATGTTTGGAATAACTCACAACTCACTGGTACATTCAGGTATCACAGAAACCCTCTGGGCCTCCTTAAAAGCCTTACAGCGTACTCGAATCTAATGGAGCGAATAAAACACTACCTAATAGTACAATTGCGTGAAAGGAGCGAACCTACCGGTAGGGAACGCGCCCTTGTAGAAGTGTGGGAAAGAATCCAGAAGTTCTGGACGGGATGTAGGATGTAGGCATGTAGGGGCTGCCAGCTGGGTGGCTGTTTCCATTGAACATCCATTCCATTGGAGAGAACCGGTAGCTAGCCCATGTTGAGACGCATCGGTGAAACACTAGCTAGTATCTTCAGTTTTTTTTAAGCTTGTATCTTTGATAGTGCTACTAGCTAGTAGGCAAGCGATGTTTGGAATAGCACTGGTGCACTGGTGCATGCGGACATTCAGGTATCTTTCGGTTAGAAACCCTCTGGGCCTCCTTGTACCAGTACCTTATTCCTTTACTCGAGTACCGCACAAGTGCCTGTTCCCGGAAACCCTTTGGGCCTTTTAACTTACACGTGATAAGTTCCATCCTGCAAGCAGCGAATAATACAGTACTACTAGTAGACTTCAGTACTAGTACACGTACCAGTGCTCCAGAACATGTACCAGCTAAAATTGGTAGTGACCGTATCTTTGATAGCGGTATTACTGTACGGTAGTAGTAGGCAAGTGATGTTTGGAATGACCCACTTGGAAATGCAGACATTAAATGGTTACTACAGATCCCCCATGAATTGACCAAAATCCAATTCCCGGGACCACTTTTCCCTTTTCGAGGTCTTTTTCCCCCCTCCTAGCTAGACTACTACCAGGTAGTGGAATTTCTGTAGAAGACCTACTAGCCAGTAAGAACAATGAAAAGATGAATGCCGCATCTGCTTCCATTCGATTAAATCGAATCGAATCATTCTACTGTACTCGGGTAGAATGTAACAGCGTCAGTAGACTACGTACCGGTACGGTACCAAAACCGTACCATAGTAGAACAACGTACAGTAGCTGCGGACTCTGGTGGAACTCCGGAAAAAAATGAGAGGAGAAAAAAAAAGTTGGTGGGGATCCTAGTCAATTCATCCAGAACCTGTACAATCTTGCAAACCGTCTGGGCCTGACGACCGGTTCTTGGCAACGATCCTTGAGCTTGAGATCCTTGAGCCTGAGGAGATCCTGGATAGCGGAAGGTCGAAATCAAAATCAGACCTTCTCATCTCACAATTTGCAAACTCGCAAAAGCAAAAACGAAACGCAAGCAACTATCATAATAGCTACAGATTCGCAAGAATACTTCGGTAAGCAACGAACTCGCGCACCATGATGTTCAAGTCTATTCTTTTGAGCGCCCTTGTCCTCCTTGGTTTGTCCGGTCCTGTTCTTGGCCGCATTGGAGAGGAAGACGATGCGGAGAGAAGTCTTGGGAGCGACGACCAGAGGTGGCTTTGCAGGGTGGACCGTGTTCGTTTTTTTAAGACATTGAATGATAATGGAGATGAAGAAGAGTATGAGCTGCAACTTGACTATGATTTCTTTAGTTGGAGTAACGTCCTTGCTTGGAATAGGTATTTTTGGAAAGTCGACAACGTTTACTTCAAGAGCGAAATCGTGCAAGCAGAGCATGACAAGCACATCACGGAACCTGACAGTTACAAGGCAAACCGTTTTTACGATGCATACATGCTGAACTACTTCGGCGAACCTTGCAATCCCCCAACCGACACGGAGTCCACAAACTATGACGTTGTGGACGGAGGCTTCTATGGCTGTTACATTTATCGCAACTTCGGGAGCATATTATCGGAAAGTAGGGCAAATGGCAATTGGTGCTGGGACCCAGCTCAGTCTGATAAGATGAAGCTCCATGCTAGTTTTTATGTTCGAGAGATGGATGCTGGCTCTACTGACCTTGGAAGCCAAATGTACTATCAATCGCATGATGATGGTTGGGAGCTCCATCCCAGTGCAAACAGTAACGGCAACTGGCACAGGTATTTCACAAAGGACTCAAGTGATGGGCGCAAGACCAGGGTCATCGTTCAATGCTGGACGGAGGAGGGATCGTGCCAGGACATTGGTTATGACACTTACTTTGGCTCTGACGATTAAAGTGCATCCTGGTGGGTGAAAAGGCCGGGTGTGATGAACAGGATCATCGGTAATTGGACAAGTGAAACGAAAACTGTGCGACGAACAAAGAGAGATCATTGAGTGATCAAGACGCTGGACAACGGACTCGGAAAGGAATACATCAGATACATCAGATACATTAAAAAGAAGAACAGGAAAGAGTCGGAGACACGAATAAGGACGAGTCAAGGAGGTAGTATTTGTAATACATCATAAGCAAAGCTGTAATGGCAAGACATCTTTAGATGTAAGAGTAGCCATCGTTGAACTTCCTACTGGCCTAGTACTGTAGCAGAAAGTGAATGGCCATGGTGCAATAAGAGACGCGATATCGTTCAGCGGGAAGTGCAGTCTCACTGCCCCATGTCCAAGAAGAGTCGCGTCAGCGGTTGCATTCTCGTTTGACTGGGCACCGTACCGTAGTATCAGCGACTTCAAATTTCAAAGGCATTCTTAATCGCTCCAACCATCATTGTCTGCCGCCAACGTGTACTGCTACTGTTGCTGTCTGTTGGGACATTGCTTGTGTGTTGCTGCATGTTGAGGCTAATGCACCAATATTGGGCGCACTGTGCTTCGACTCCTTCCCAGCCACTGCTCCGATAAGCTCGTCGTCGTCCTAATAGAAGCAAGCTCAAAGAAGCTGATTTTCTGCCACTGAACGAAACAGGATGGGCTATGTTTGTTTGCAGTACCGTAGAAGGATGATGCAAGCACAACAAGTTTCTTGTCCTTTTCAGGAAGGTGTTCGATCGAATCAATGTGCCCAACCAGTCATCGCAAACGTACAGAATGCTAGCTAGACGTGTCAAAGGGGCAGAAGATGAGTGACGAGACTGGGTTGGATCTTTTGGAAGCTTGCTTTTTAGACGCCCACTACCTCGGTTTGAGACGTGGTTCTGCTCTAGCTCGAGGTTGGACCACCACATGCAAAAACATCATCATTTTAACTCCTCATGCAGGCAGAGAATGGTGAAACTGAAAGGCGATTGTTTTGCGTTGGAGGACTGCTACCGTAGCGACCCCCGGTACTACTTGGTACGATCAGAAGAGCTTGCCAAGGTACGTAGTAATCCTGGTAGGAACCGGGCATTGCTAGACTTTGACTCGGCCCAGAAACTTCTAGGAAGAGTGTCGCATTCGGATTATAGAACCAAATACTACGACGGTTTCCTCGGCGACAAGGGTCCCTTTTCTTACGCCAAACTATACGTTAGCCTGCAATTTATGAAGGAACATCCCAGTCCAGTCACAAAGGACACTGATGAGGAGGAGGAAGAGAATCCAGAAGATGAGGATGGAACGACTATGATTCGGTGGAATCGAAGCACATTCTCTTCGTCCCTGTGCGATCCCCAGCCTGGAGTTGAACATGCGAAATTGCAGGTTTACACAGATGGCCTGAACCAGAACGAAAGCGGTTCCTGCAAATGCGGTATAGGTGATGGCTTTGTCATTCACGAACGAACAAGCCGACCGGAGGACCTAATCGACCTCCTATTTGCCAAGAACCCGGAGCAGTTGGAGTTCCAAGACAACATTCCGGCATCTCTCTCGAGCTATTTCGCCAAGAAAATGATGGATTGCAAAACTCTGCAAGTATTGAATGTCCCTACTGATTGGGTGATCGACGAGGCAACCGCATCCATTTTCAACCAAGTCTTGAAGGCAAATGCGTGCCTTGTGCTGGCCCTAACAGGCAGTTGCACCGGGAACAAGGACGAGATCTTTGCTCGAATATTGGCGCTTTTGGAGGACGGCATTCGTGGCAACACTTCGGTTCGGCATCTGGACCTGAGCCAGACCTACCTGGGAGTGAACCAGTTGCTCTTCACTTCGTTTGCACTCTCCCATCTCCCAAATGTGGAGATTTTGGACCTTCGCAATACAAAATGCTCTATTTCTTCTGACAATAATGACGTTCCATCCATAATGTTTGAACCACTCAAGTCTGCATTCCAACAGAGCCGCAATTTGCGCACCATCAAATTGCGCAGTTGTGGAGCTCATGAAGAAATTATGGATCGCCTTGTGGGTGCAGTGTGCACCTTGCCCACTCTGGAGGACCTGGACATTGCGAGAAGCAGTTGTGGAAGCAAAGGAATCGAGCACATTGGGCAATTGCTGGAAAAGATCGATTGCAAACTCGCCACGTTGGATATCTCTTGCCTCGGTGATGTTCACGGAAAAACCTTGGTGAACAGTGTTTCTTTATCTCCCATTGCGGCTGCCTTGCACAAGAATCAGAGTCTGACAACTCTAAAGTTGGGTTGCAACGACATTGTTCCATGCACTGCGGAAGGGCGACTTCTGGGACCATTGGCTGAAGCACTGTGTGTCAACAATTCGCTCAAGAGACTGCACCTATTGCACAAGAGATGGCTTTGATGTTTTCTTTTCTCTGCTTGATCGCATGAAGGGACTGGAGTATCTTGATGTGTCGGACAATGCCATGACGTCAGAGTGCTTGGGGGTTCTTGCGGAACAAATCAGTGGTAACACTTGCACGATAGGACTTTGTCATCTCGAAGCTGTGGACATGCAGGTGACAGAGGAAAGTGCCCTGGAAACTCTCGCGAGGGCCATCAGCAAGAACCAAGCGGAGCGAGGCCCGACGGCGAACATTTCCAAGCTTACTACGTACCCCCCAAACTACATTGAAGAAGACATGGCGCCTCACACACTGATTCTAGTACCTGAAAATGGAACTGGAGTTTCTATTCCGCCCCCAAGATACGGTGGTGGAGAGATTGTCGTTGGCACCTCAACCCATTTGAAAGAGTTTATGCTCGACAAAGTCCCAACGCTTTTCTTGCCAAAACCATCAGAGGCCGACCATTATCAGTCCACCGTATATTTGAGACCACTACCAAACAACATTCAATTGCCGGGGATGGAAGTGGAGCTCTATGACGGCCTCGTCCCGAGCAAGCGCGGCAAATTTCAAATCTACACCAGCGCAGAGTCAGTCGAAGATATTGTGGACGTGGTGGTATCCCTTGGCCTTTGCAAGTTTCAAACCATGTGTCAGCCACCACCTGTCATCCAAAGGCTCCAGGAGAAGCTGCCCAATTTGTCGCTCACGAAACAAGAGCCTCGGCACTATTATCCTGGCTGGGGGTGACTATCTACTGTATCACAGTATCAACCTAGCTGATACATGCAGTATAAACACAAAACCTCGGACTACTGTATAAGGGAGACTTCTAAAGGCTTCATGCGTCGGATCCTTCTTACGATAACCTCCATCAGACGGACATGAAAGGATTGCGCATCCACTGATCAGCCCCCCATAAGGATGACATGGAAATCAGTCCATTTCCAAAAGCACCCTACGTGTCAATCGCGCCTGCTCGTCGAGTTGGTTATTCAGTTCCGCAACGTGTGTTTCAACCGCTCTTCTCAGCTCACGAATGTCACTTTTGAGCTCGATCTTCGACTCAATAATCGCATTCCGTAGCCGATCCTGAGCCGGTGTGAGACCTCGGACGTATTCCAAAAGTGGCGTGAAGCACAAAAAGTCGGCCAAAGATCGAATGACTTCCAATTCCGCCGATGTGAGTTCTTGCGGCAAGGACTGGGTCCGGATGAAATGAAGTGCCCAATTGAAAGCGATGGGATCCGCGTCCACAAAGTATCTTCCCTCATCGAACGTTTTCCATGGAATATCGCTGTCCACAATCTTAGATAAAATCCAGTCAGTTTCCACTAGTACCTCTTTTCGGAGTGTGTAGGCTTTGCCCGATACACTTAGCCGCACCAAAGGATCGTCATCATTGGCGCGTTCTTGTTTGTTCATTTTGTACTCCATGCTTCGAACGCGTCTTGTCCGCGGTTGAATGAATGGGGAAGAGAGGCACCGAGACTGAATCGAATCTCAAGGGTCGATTGTTGACCACTCCGCGCTGAATTTTTATCCGCCAGGATTCGTCGTGGAACGTACGGTATTGTTACCGCTTCCACTGAATTGTCACATGTTCGTAGCAGCAATCACTCCTTCCACGTTGGTTGTCACACAGCTTTCTCACGTACCGTACATACAAGTCTTCTTGGCTGTCTAAATATTTCATGTATCATCATCTATGTTTAACATGATCTGCGCGGGATGTTACAAGAAATGAAGCAGACTCCACACAACTGTTGACTGTCCCTCGAGTACCGAGCTCTCGAGTGGACTTTACATATATTATGTACTGCTACCAATAATGGTACAGCTGTAGCGAGGTGGATCTGGTCGACGACCTGTTTCAAAAGGCTTGATTCCACGCCATGTCAAACACGCCGTGGAAACAAGCATTCCAACGGTCCAGCAGATTCGCGCCCGAGGTGGATCTTGGTTGTGGTTGGGCCTTGTCCAGTTGCTGGAGTGGAACCGCAGGAGATGGAACAGGGGTGGGGATTGGAATTGGCCCTTGTGCTGGTCCTCCAGTTGGTTACCGCACGGCATGTCTTTTGACGGGAGGGTATCGCAGAAAGGATTGATTCAATCCCAGCACCAGCGGCTCTGTGATCCTCTGCATGCAAGCTCTAAAGCGCAGATTTGACCCATCAGGAGCAAACGAAGATAGCAGAACAGCTTCCAATCGGAACCAATCTAAAATGAATTGGCAACCCCGAACTAATCCAGTCACTTCTTGCTAAAATCGCAGAACCCCAAACTGATAAGACAAAGCGCTGCCCAAATCCTACTGAAAGTGATTCCGCAACACCACCACCTGGTATCTGCTGTGTCGGTATACTGGAACCTCTTGTCATCCGCCTTCCATTCCTTCCACAGAGTCGAGAGCCTCAGGCCCCAAACCCCATCATGCTATTATTTGTGGCTGGGAACCAAAACTCTGACAAGCAGTGCAAACTTGGGGTGGGCTCCGAAAGGTGCCAATCTAGCTAGTAGTCGGAACCACAGAACGAACAGATGATGCAAATCTAGTTGGCACCATAGCACTAAAACTGGTGCGATCTATAGCAAGTGGGAACAAAGGCCCTCGCAAGGAGTTGAGTCAGTATCCTTCTGTTCTTCTGTTCAGCCGGACCTCACGGAATCAACTTGCATTCAACTTGACGAGCACCTGGTCTGAACCAGCTTTTTACTAGCTAGCTAGTACAGAACTGGTAAAACATGCTGGTCTTTGGTTTCCAGTCACATTAAATCTATGTCCGAGTATGCAGTCATCGTTTCGTAACACTTTGAGATTCTTTTTCTTTTGGCCTTGCTGCTCCGTTGAACAGTTCCATCCGAATTGGCCGCTGGATTTACTATGACATAGTAACCGCGATCACCAGTCTTTCATAAGTCTGGTGGCGGCTGCGGTTCACTGGGACACACACCCAGAAGGCAGCATCATCAGCGCAAAAAAAAAAAAGTGAACGCGGCGAAGGAAAGTCACTTGGTCATCGCATCCATCCCTACATCCCTACCGGTCCCAACCACCAAAAGCTACCCTACCAATATCATCATAATTATTCAAGAGGTTGGACTGCTGATTGCTGATACCTCTCTTTACTAATCTTCAGTGAGTCAAGTCAAAGCAGCTACCGGTACCGAATTAACTACGATATCATACCGTACCATGGATCTTAACGGGAAGAAGAAGAAGATGGCTGAAGCCGTGCCTACTACTGGTACTACTACTAATGGCAAGGAGAAGACGACGGTGACTACTAACCATCAGTTGATGGATCTGTTATTGGAAGACGAAAAGGCACAAGAGCGGCAACAGCGCATGTCAGCTCCTGCAGTCTCCTTAAAGACGAGCCTCAGCCAAGGAAATCCTACTACTACTAACGGTACCAATAATAATAATAAGAGTGGAGTTCCTACCCCCGACATGGCGCGATCCAAATCGATGCCCATGCAATCCAACGACCGACAAGCTTTGGAAGAATTATTCAAACAGCAAGAACGAGAATATCAGCTGGGAAATACTACTACTATGAATAACAACAGCAGCCAACAATTTGGAGAATTGTCGGCGTCCGAGTCGTTTGCGGAGAGCATGAATCTTCCGCCTAGCAACCACACTACTGTTCGACGAGAAAAAGGCGACGACAAAGAAGAAGAAGGATTCACGACGCCCACCAAACGTCGCAACGGTAGCTATACGAACAATGGTGGACACGACGAAGACACTCCCAAACGGACCAATCGAAGAAGCCAGCGCCCAACTTCCCACAGAGGCCTTCAAGTCGGCCGCAACAATTGTCGTCGCGGGAGTTCCGGCGAAATGGACGAATCCACGACGAGTATTCATAATGGTGCGGTCGTTCCGCGCTCTCCACAAGAAGACGAAGATTTGAAATTGAAGAATAAGCAACAAGGATACGCGTCCGACGATGACGACGACGATTTAATGCACATGGTAGCCCGACGATCTCATATCGACGATGGCGACTGGAACGATTCGAGCCGCGCCGGTCTCGAGGATCTCATCATGAACAACAACAATATCAACAATAATGGCGACATGGACAATAGCTCGGCGTATTACTACTCCAACAATGGATCCGAGCAAGAACGTAACGAACGTCGCAACATTAAACAGGCCGGACCGACGTTGGGAGCGGCTCCCGGAGCGTACGGAGCGGCACCGGGATCACGACCTCGACGGGTACGATCCATTCGATTCGAAGCGGTCGGACAACATCATCAGAATAATCCAGAAGAGGAAGATTCGGCCTATGCCGATTATTTGCAACGCGAAAATGACAAATTCGATGGAGGCAGTAGTAGTAAGCAGCGGACCGAAAAACAGCAGCAAGTCTCGTGGGATAATCATAACCACGAACAACACCATCAACAACGACGACGAAGTGACAAGGAAAATTCCAAGCGGTTCAATACTCCTTCTGGCGCCATGACAATGACACAGGCAGGAACGAGAACAGCCTCCAGTATGGGATTGGTCGAAGCCAGAGCCGTGACGGGCGAATCCACGGGATCCATTTTGGGAGAAGCCAATGCCTACGATGGGCCCATGGAAGAAGAAAAACAACAAATGAGAGAACAAAAGAAACGACGATACATGGGCACGATTCTCTGTCTAGTGGTGGTCCCGGTTCTCATTGTGCTCATTCTGTGGTGGGCTGGGGTCTTTGATAAGGCCACCCAAGATACCATTGTTGTCGGCACAGAAGCACCATCGTATGCACCATCCGGAAGCCCCACGGCAGCACCCACACCCTTCTTTCTTCCCCTGCCGGATTACACGGTTGACACACTTCAAAATGGTCCTCTGGATTCACCTCAAGAAAGAGCCTACAAATGGATCCAAGATGATCCCAATTTTGAAGATTATTCGGATGAGCGGAAACAGCAACGATTTGCTCTTGCTACTTTCTACTTTGCTACCAATGGTGACCTGGGAAGTTGGACACTGCAGGATGATTGGATTTCTTACGATGTTCACGAATGCGAGTGGTTCAGCAAATGGATCAATAAGGGCCCAGAGACGGCCCCTGTCTGTGATGAACAAGAAAACCTTCTCTCACTCTTGTTGACAAAGAATCAACTCTCTGGAAGTTTGGTCCCAGAACTAGCCATGCTGTCCCATTTGATTGTTTTGGATGTGGCTACAAATGAAGTAGCAGGTACTCTGCCAACTGAATTGGGTCTGTTAACAAAATTGACGGATCTTTCTGTGGATGTCAATGCAATAACTGGACCATTGCCATCGGAAATTGGTCTCATGGAGAGCTTGGAAATGCTGTTGGTCCATACCAATGCTGGCCTTACTGGAACCATCCCTACAACCTTTGGCCAGTTGACGGTCTTGGAACATTTCCAGGCTGGTGGAGGGCAGCTTGGAGGGCAGCTTTCGGGGACCATTCCATCAGAAATTGGCTTGATGACCTCACTGCATAGTTTGACTTTGCACAAGAATATGTTGTGGGGCACCATACCCTTGGAACTTTGGAACCTGACCAACTTGTGGGAAATTTTGCAACTTAACAAAAATGAATTGACTGGAACACTGCCAACCGAGGTAGCCAAGCTGACCGACTTGGAAGATTTCCGGCTTCATACTACACTCATGACAGGAACACTGCCCTCAGAGCTGGGAGCCATGACAAAGTTGACTTACATGGACCTCTGCTGTGGCTCATTTGAGAGCTCCATTCCGTCTGAGATTGGACTTCTCTCGGCACTTTACAGACTATACCTGGAAAACAACAACCTTTCTGGATCCCTACCCTCTGAAATGGGTCTGGTGAAAGAGCTTGACCGACTTTTTCTACACAGCAATAAGCTCTCTGGAACCCTTCCTACTGAAATATCTCTTCTCAGACAACTGAAACGGCTAAGGCTGTACATCAATTCCTTTTCTGGCCCCTTGCCATCTGAACTCGGCTTGATGGCCAATTTGACACAATTTAATGTGGAATCCAATGCTTTCAATGGTAGGCTTCCCACAGAGTTGGGCCAACTGTCTTCCTTGGAATTCCTGTTTCTGGGAGAAAATCCCATCACCAGCACTCTCCCCACAGAGATTGGTCTCTTGCACAAAACCCTTGAAAATCTTTCTGTCCAATCTGCCAAAATCTTTGGATTCCTACCAACAGAAATAGGTCTGTTGTCATCCTTGACCAATCTTGATCTGTCAAAAACCAACCTGGTGGGACCCCTGAGATCAGAGCTTGGGAAATTGGATTCCCTCGAGTCTTTGGACATTCAGGTTACTTTCTTCCAAGGCATCATCCCATCAGAACTGGAGAGCTTAAATGATACGTTGAGTGATTTGTTCTTGGAGAATACCTTCTTGACGGGAACAGTTCCATCAGGCCTTTGCAGTGTCCCCCAGCTATACTTCAACTGCTCAAGTGATCTCTGTGGCTGTGATTGTGAGTGTCAATTCATGGCTCAAGGTAGTGTAGAGGGAAATGCCAAAGAGCCATAAAGAACCTGCTGGCCATTGTAGTAAGAACATCCTTAGCATGCCATACACGTAGTTGGTAAATCATTGCCGGTAAGGCTATAAACGATTGTGCACCTTCAATAGTCCCAGCTTTGAGGGTCTCCCTCCTGTCGTTTTTGAGGGGTTACATTTCTTGGCTGGAACAGCTGGAAGAGCTCCATAAAGCCATTGCAGCGTCCCTGAGCTGCACTTTGCTGCTCAAGTGATTGTGATTGCCAAGAATAGACTGGATATGCGCAATACCCCTCCCACACAATTAAGCCCTGTTTTCGAGATAAGAAGACTTGACTAGAATAAATTGTAGTTCTGTCAAAGTTAGTTTGGCTTAGTTTGCTACCATTCTTTCTGGGCCCAGCGTACCAGTACCCTTATCAGCTTAGTTAAAATTGTCACCACGGAGACTTCTCATGCTACGTTGTTGGCATCCAGTGCAGTCAGCAGTGCAGCCAGAAGGAAGATTGAATGTCCCATCCAGTGGATTTGAAAGGGATCCTCGAAGAGTGAAGGAGCTCATGTAAGTCCTGCAGGCTTTGTTGACACGGCATTTTCCATCTTGACATTGGAGGCTGGTTGGTCCCTCAAAGGAAACCTCTTCCACTAGGCAGTCATCAGATATTGAAATGCATTGCTGCTTATTGGAACACCAAATCTGGCCTGCCGCAGGGACACAGCCATGGTCATCAGTAGTGCCATTGAGCATTGGGTCTTGCTCTGAGCAATCGGGACAATTCGCAGCGCATCCTTGAAAGATTCCAATCAACACTGTCAGTAGAAGAGCAGCTGATACGTTGTTCTTGCTAGTCAAGACTTTCATGTTGAGTCGATTCCCTTTGCTGAGAGAAGTTTCCGAAGGTGTAACGAAACTTTGAAGCAACGGGTGCAAGTGTTACGCTACCCTACAAGACCTTCTGGAGCGAAACGCCGAGTTTGTGGGAATGCCAGGGCTTGCTGAAACGATTGTTATTGCAAATCTAGCCATCGTAATGGCTGCCAGTTTAAAAATTTTCGACCGTCGCCAATAGCCCTCAAACGTTGTATGGCCATTGCGATTTTTAATGTACCGGCGTGTTTTGTGTGTACCGGAGTGTTTGTCTCGCTGTCTTTAAGTCTTAAAGACAGTTTTGGTATCGCGGATCAGCCCCTCATTATAGGCTCAATCTTGGGTTGGATCTTGTGGAAGTTTTCGTCACGATCTCGGTCGATCTGCTGAGAGCAAAAGGGGCATTAAATATTGGTTTGCCATTGAAACACACTCTGAGAGTCGAGTCTTTTATGCGTCAATAAATAATAAATGTCTGAGTCACTGTAGGCGAAAATGGAGCTAAAAAGCTTATTTGTGTTAAGAAAAGAGTACTCCGAGTATCATGGCTGATTTCCGGAACCGGAGGCGGCAGACGCTCCGGTGACCGTTTATTGTCCCAAGTGACTGAAATAGGAAAGATAAGTCTTATGGTTTCCATGTAGACTATTAATTAAAATACTGCCGTAGTATTTATTGTAATGGCCAAATCAGGTTATCTCATTATCTCTCGCTACTCGCTACTAGCTAGTACATTGTACTACTTGAGTACTAGCAATAAGTAATAAGTGTAAACATGCCAGTGCGCCAGTTTCTTAGCTCTTTTACTAATACATGTATGCATACACCTTGAGGCCTGGAACTGAATGACAAATTGGAAGGTCAGAGGTCAGAGGTGATATGGCTTTTGGGCTTTTCAATAATTGGACTGATGACTAAGTCATACTGTACAGTTACCACCACAAGCTTGGGCCTTAGAAGAAAGGCGGTTTACAGTACATATACTACTACTAGTAGTGAAGTTGTCTCACGGAAGAGGTGTTTCATCTATCTCGTCTCTGGCAAAGATTCTGATTGGAGTAGGACACCGCAACCATGGTATGGTACTGGCTGCCTCTACTGGTACAAAAACAAGATGCCTCCGGTTGCGCCAACCACGGAAATAGAAATAGCAAAAAGGGCTGTCACTTGATTGGCAAATAGCTAATACTTACTGCCATGGGCTCCCAGAATGTATACGTGCTTTAGATA